TCCTGCACGTTATAGCTCCATGTTTAGTCTCCTCATCAGTTACTTGGTAGCCAATTTTGTATAGAAGAAGCTATGAAACTGTTTCTCCCTGTCCATACAGTGGCTCTGCTTGACCCCCTAGATCACTGTTGTAACAAACGAATGCTGGCTTGACATTTATAACATGTGTCAAGGCTACGACTCCAGTTTTGTAGGTTTGCCTACTTGCTCCGCCCGTAAGGCATCATGGCATCTTGGCCCCTGGCGTAGTCGCAAGCAACAGTCGTAGCCTTGACACACGGTACATGTATAGGCATACCTAACTCCTTTTCGTAGTAATTTAGATAAGAGTCATGATTAAATGCCTAATTAGAAACTTTTCAAACCAAATTTGTGTCATCTACAATTAGAATTCCCTGGTGAATATTCCGTTCAAGTTTCCGGCCAGAAACTGGCACTCCGGTCGTAAATGTATACGATTTCCGACCGTATTCCTCGTTTTCAGTCGGAATTTGGCACTCCGTCCGGAATCAGCTACGATTCCAAGTTGATAACAAACAATATGTGATAATAAATAGAGACGGTTAAATAGGGCAATTTAGACTTCACCGTGCTCAGCGCAGACCTAACTAACGTCCCATAGTCGGAGCATCCTCCGGCCGGCGTCTGGACTACGGTTGGAGAGTGTTTCAGTTTACGGGCGGCAGAGGTACAGACGGAAATCTTAAGACCGGAATTCTCGCCTGGTAGACGGTTTACCATATATTTCGATATTTTCGTTCTAAAAATTGCATTTTGTCAGTGTTTATTTATCGCAAGTTAAGGCGCATCCAGTAACGGTAACTTTTTGGTCTTTTCTTCATATTTGTCCTCTTTTTATAAATTGGTATGAACCAATCGACTAGTGGGTGTTGAAACTATTGAGAAGTTGTGGGTGTGAGTCTTTCCTTTGCCTTCGTGTTAACGGGATATATACTGCGTTTTGGGTCGCCAGGCACCATCTATGACTCATCTCATTATTTTTTCTGATCCCGAGTCTGGCACTCATCCGCGCGCAAAAATGCAGAAACGTAAGGTGGCCCATCTCTACTCACTCGTCTTGTCCTCTGTAGTGGATGGCAAACCCGCCAGAGCACCCTCGCGAGTGTGAGTGCGGGGTCGCGAGGAGTATCCGCAGCGTGTCATGTCGCAGATCACCCCCGCGACCCCGCATGGACTCTCGAGAGCGTGCACTGGTGGAGGGTTTGTACTGCAGAAGACGGGGCACGAATGAATCACGGCCCATTCTGTAAAGAACATCCAATTTAAGCTACCAGTCTGAACAGAATGGTAATTTGTTCAATCGGCGTTGGGGGTCCAGCTCACTGTGTATGTTTATTTCCTTAGAAACTGAAGTGTTCATAATGTGAGGGAAAAGGGTTGGGTTTGAGAGGTAGATGTGTTAGGTCGAGGGGGATGCTGCTATGAGTGGCTGCCCGGCTCCCGTTCTCTCACACCGTTACGCGATGCGCAGGAGCAGCACGTCAACCGCAGCCGCGGCCTTTGCGATCGCCACCTCGGCGTCCAGCAACCCTCGCGACCTGAGCCCCGCCATGAGCGCCATGAGCCGCGCGTCGTGCTCGTCGGCGTCGGGCATGCCCATGGGCATGTCCTCCATGCCTGGGTCGGCGCCGGGCTCCTGCAAGGAGCAGCGCCGCCGCAAGGAGTCGGTCCTGTCCACCGCCGCCACCATGCGGGTCCTCAACGTGCTGCGCCACTGGGTATCCAAGCATTCGCAGGTGAGAGATACGACTATTATTATTGCCGACGAACTTCTTACATCACTTACGGAAACGGGTCCGCTGCATCTAAGTAGTTATTTAGAGTACTGTACCCAGCCACTTTGTTTTTCTGCGTTCTTGTACTTACCTTCGATCTGAGACTGGGACCGCACAAAACAGATGGGATGGGACCGGCCTTCTGGGCAGAGGACGGACACCCCCGTCCTTCCGCCATACGAAATTGCCAGCTTCACTTCACTGTTAAAAAAAATTGCCGTAAATTTACAACAAAAATGTGATTAATTTTGTTAGTAGCACATACTGTATTTTTACATGCATCACTGTAAAAACACAGCTTTAATCAAAATTCTCGGAAACAAAGTTTCCGACCGAAAGCAGATACTTTTGTTTTGCTCCTGTAAAAAAAAAAGGTTGTACTATACCAGTGACCTGTTTTGGAACGAAATGTGTTGCTAACAAAATTAACTTCTTTTTTCTTGTAAATATACAGCAAAGTAATACGCAGTTAGTTTCTGTTGTGGGCCAATATGGGCCGAATATCACAAGTTTCGAGAGTGTTCAAATGAAATCAACACTTCTGTTATATAACAGGAGTGTCAATCCCGCAGTATGTCGTCAGGTGACAGTTATTTTTAACAGTGTTCGCTCTGCAGGCAACTCCGTTGGGCAGGAGCCGGGCCTGCCGATGGCGTTTGACCTTCAAGTCACTATTCTTATTTGAGTAAACTAACACTGGAAAATCAAAGGTGTGATGTCCTACCTACCCAGGGGTGTTAAACTCGTTTTAGGGGTGCTAAAGAGTATATTTTCAGTTTTTTTCAAAATATTCTCTATGTGAGCAAACCAATCACATTTTTAGATTCATTATCGCATTCCTCGCAAAATTCCGCGTCAAACGAGCCTGCATGTGATAGGGCTCAGATAAGCGGTCAGCAAATAAAACGCAAGTCAAAAAGTACAAAAAATGAAATCAATCTATGCCATTTTTGAACAGAACCCAAACATATGTAGGCTCGTTTGACGCGAAATTTTGCGTAGATTAAGAAACTAGGTTTCAGAATCCAATTTTGTTCCATGGGAAAGAAATATTTCGCAAAAACATAAATTGTGATGCCTTTGGAGCTTTAACGCCTTTTAAAGGTAGGATGTCCTACCTTTGTTTTACCAGTGAAGGCTTCCAGGCGGGCCTTCAGCCCTAAAGATTTTCTCCTTGGACGTGAGAAAAGACTGTAACGGTTTGACGCCGTTTTGGGGGAGTACTTATTCCCCCTTTGTCATTTTACGATTTCACGCCTCTTTCTACGTCTTTATGTACAGCGTGCTCATTTTCACCGTATTTCCGTCGAAAAACCATTCTATAGCGCCTAAACACTGCAAGATAGAGCCGCACGGATACAATTTGAGTTCAGAGTAGAGGATTCGTTCACGAGCTACCCCTTAGAAAACCATAAAAAAAATCCTAATTTTTCGACCAACCCCTATTTCTTTGTAATCCCCTTTCGCCCGCTTGGTGTAGTTGCCAGGATTTGCACCAGGCGTTTCGTTGTCCAGGAGTCACCCCTAAGATACCCTGAAATTTGTAGACCTCTAGCTCATCTCCTTACACACACGATGGACAGACGGACACGAGAGCGGTTGCCTTTTTAAACGAACCAGTTTCTACCACACGGGCCGCGCGCGGGGGGCAGAGCGTCATGTCGCCGCGACCACCTGTTGCATCTCAATTCGACATTACCTCAGTACCGCAAACAATAAGTACTGTGCGACGTCTTACGTTGCGTCTTACGTTACGTCTTACGTTACGTCTTACGTTACGTCTTACGTTACGTCTTACGTTACGTCTTACGTTACGTCTTACGT